TAACATTTTATGTATAATAATAATACATCTATAATGAGCATATTGTTTTTAAATAGAATATGAACTACAATTATTATTTTAACATATGCATGTATATGATAAATATTTATTTTATATAACTAAAACTTAAAATAAGTAAATACTTCTAAACTTATAAATTATATTATAATAAATAATTTTTTTTAAGAGTTTAATAATTATATACTGTAAATTTTTTTACAATTAACCAATTAGAAATTGCCATTAATATAACTTTGTAGTTATTTACTATAAAACTCAACAAATTACCATATATAGTCACAGCATAACTTTTTTATTTTTTATTTTTTAAACATGAATTATGTTTTGAATTTATAATAAAAAATTTATATTATGATATATAAGATTATTTGTAAATATTTTAAAAATATTACAATTTAATTTTACAAAAATTCAGAGAAGTAAGGAATTAGAAAAATCTCTAAATGCACTTCCATAAAAGTTCATCAAAACACTCCGTTTAAGGAAAGATCTCAATGAATACTCATGTAGTGTTGTGCAACATAGTTATTCTACTTTATATATGTAAAGGATTATCTATCTTAAACTGTCCGTAATAGTTATTTATTTATTTTTTAATTTACATATCATTTAAATATCAAAGATAACATCAATTACTATCTTTTGGATTATGTCCCTGTTTTCACATTTAATATACCCTGTATTGTAAAAAAGATCCCCTTTACTAGTATCTTAAAAGCAACTACTAACATATTTTCAGTAAAATATAACCATCTATAAGTACGTACATATAAAACAGTTATGCATCAAATTTGCAGTCACATTATCTATAAAACAGTGCCGTGCTAGCAGTGGTTCATAAAATAAACTGAAAAAGGGTAAAGTTGGAACGAGAAAAGAGAACTAGTTTTAGGTGTCCTTCAAAATAACAAAATATCTTACCCTCTCTCATTATCCTAATCCAAAACAACAACTTTGATTGTCTAACATTACCAAGGAGCATGAGCCAATTGTTGGAACATAGTCTTGAGCCTATCAGGGTGCATACGTTGTATGTCGGTCTCTTGGTCAAGTCTATTTATGGTTTGTTTTACTTGCACTAGTTTTGCTTCCAGAGCTTTCAACTCCTCTTCAGCACGGTCCCTTTCAAGTATTACCTCTTTGTACCTCATCAATTTCAAAGCTAGTTTCATGAGCTGGTCTAGCCGATTGAGCAAGAAGCCGACGTTCATACCCATGGTCCCAAAGGCTTTCAGAGTTTTGTCCCATATGGCAAAACCATCTGGAGAGGTTGTAAGGTTGCTGCCTTTAATGGCATCTGCAATGTTAATGGTCTCAGAGATTATTCCAGCCGCCAGTTTAGAGTTAAGACCCTCAAAAAGCTGCTCATGAAGAAACGACCCCTGGCTCAAACACAGCTCATAATACTTGCCTCTATCATATTGGGATAACTCTGAATCAATAACCAAACCATTCACCACAATCCTGAAATTCTCCACACCATTCACTTGCTTGAAACTGACAACAGATTCTGAAAATTTAATTCCAGAGACTAGATCTTCACTAGTATTTTCAACCTCATCTAATTGAGATACATTAGCACCAAAAACCATCTCGCTATTCTTATGATCATTTCCTTCAGTAGTATCTGAGAAATGAAATGACTCAGTAAACTTAATTTCTGCTTTTTTACAAGACATAACATAGACAACGACCACTTACCGAGAACACCATTCACTTCATCCGTTTGTTTTCTACATTCATCTAACTTAAGAAGACCCAGAGCACCATCCACTTCATCCGATCCCTGAGATCTTATGATGTACACCTGTGAACATCGAGATATTGAAGATTACAACTTGGAAAACTAGTATAAATTAGCAGGAACCAGAAGGTATATTTTATTTTTCTTCATTCATTCCTTTGTTTCTTATTAAAATCCATAACAAAGCATAAATGTATTGAAATAAAGGATTTATTTTGCGGTGTATGAAGTCGCACAACTTTTCAAAACTTCAAATCCTTATTATTATTATCCTTTCAATTCATAATACTTGCACATATTGTATTGAAACAAAGTTTAACACAAAATTTCTATGATAAATCAAACAATTACCTTAAACTTGGAAGGTTGGACCAAGTGAAATATTAAAACATCCATCTCAAGTAAGTTATGAGCCATGGAAAACCCCCTCCATCCACCACTTAAGCCTGCCTTTTGAGTAAGATATTTGGTTTCATAAAGTTGCCCACTTTCATCCTCCAAAGAAAAGATAGTATCAACCTTGGGCATATGCAGCTGACAGAATTTTGTGGGAAGACCCTGATCGACATTGAATAACATGGTGAATAATAATAATAATGATGATGATTGTAGTAAATGGAAAAAGTGAAGTGAGAATTTACAAGCCAAAAGCCTCCGGTTACATGAGATGGAAGCATGGATTTAATAAGGCTTGGGAATAGAGGAGATAGGGTAGCTTGAACCTCTTTTGCACGTTGGTAAGTAGTAGAGTGAGCTTGAGTAGTATTACATGGACCATCAATGACAATGCCATCTCTCTTTCGTCTAAATGCAATGACTATTACAAGTCTGTCTGTCTTCTACTTTTAGAGAGAGACCAAAACCAAAACCAAAAGTAGAAGGGTAAAATTAACTCACCTTTTTTGGGGATTAGCCTGTTCATGTTCAAGATTCAAATTTCAAACAAACAAGCATCAGTAACATATCTCATCTCAAACTCTTCCTTTTTTACTAACTAACTAGCGCGGATAATTATACCAGGAAACAACACTACTGCATTTTATTTCCAAAAAATGAGTAACACAAATAGATACTCACTTGCTTTCCTGGATTTGCTAGGCTCAATCCCAACGTCTCTTTTCTAAACAAAATTTCCTTCTTTGCTGGCCTACCTTTCTTCTTCCCCTGCAATAAAAATAAGTAATAAATAAAACAGAGGAAGAAAGAAATTAATACATAGTTGGCAGGGAAACCTTTGAGTTTTGAGCTACATCCATGACTGAGAATGAAGGCTTTTGAGATTGAGAGTAAGGGTGTGGGTACCGCTACCATAAGAACACAATCTATAATTTTATATCATTATATTATATTATTATTATAATAGCAACGTTAATGTGGTGGAGAACCAAAAATTCAAATGCCATGCTTCTTCTAGTTGCAACACTTGTTCCTTTTTTTTCTTTTTTCTTTTTCCTTTCTACCTTTGTCAATCAACAAAATGAGCAGCCAAGACAAAAGCAAATTCACTAAAAATGTTCATATTTTAGTTTGTCCATTCCAAAATATTATCTATCAATAGATTTGTAAGTAAAAAAAAAAAAAAAACTACGAATAAGATTCATGCACTTTAGTTTATAAATTCATCTATAATTCTATAAGATATTTGATAATTTATACTAATTTTTTAAAAAGATTTATTTTGAAAGATGTGATTTTTATTTAATAACTAAGTTTCTAACTGTTAAATGTATGATATAAACAAAATATGTGAGTGTAGTGATTGATGTCTTTATTTATTAATTTTGAATATTATGTATCATTATTTTTAACTTTTACATAATTTAAAAGTTGTTAAATTTTTTGAATCCAATATATATAACTTCATAAGTTATTGGACTCCCAATCTTTGACATCATTCATTCATAAAGTAGCAAAACAAAAATAATTGTTTCCCATTTTTCATATTTGATAAAATGATAAGCCAAATTTTTACTGTATTATTATTTTTATATAAAAAAAATTAAAATAACACTCTGTATACATTATTTATCCAAGTAATATCCTTCACTGTTTAAGGTCAGAATTCGGTTTGAGGAACCAAATTCTGACATTCATTGTGTCCTTTGACTCCTTTCTCGCCAGCATGGATTGTCGAAATTCAATTTTTGAGGACACCAAATTTCAGGCGGCCAATTTTGATTATTTTTTTTCGTTTAGGGTTTAGAGTGCAACACAACGTTGTGCATGCTGTGGCAGGAGGGTTCGAGGGAGAGGAGGTGTGGAAAGGGAGGAGACGGAGGAGGGGAGGAGGCAGAGGGGAAGCGGTGGAAGGTGATGGCGGGGTGGCGGCGGAGACAGCGGCAATGTAGTGGGCGTTGGAGTCGGCAACTATCACTACATAATTAAAATTAAAACAAGAATGAATTAAATAAAAGCTGGATTAGGTTCAGTTTAGAGAAGGGATTTAAAATTCAAAATTTAGGAAAAATCAATTATTGAAAGCGTAAATTGCTCCAACATTAATGAAGCTTGGTGAGATAAAATATATCCCACCCTGTTTTTTTTTTTTTTAATGTTTATAGCAACCTCTTATGGAAGACACGGTATAATATTTTTTCAAATAATTAAAAAGAATTTGTACAACATCTAGAATGTGTTGGTATAATATTTTTCAAAGTAGAGTTAGTATAATAATAGAAAACTCAGGAAGTGTACTTGCAATTTCATGAAGCCTAGAGAATGTCATTGTAATCTAATCTTATATAAATAAAAAAAAAAATCACGATTGGAATTCATACAACATAAATAATGGATTGATTTAATTACCTTTACCTACGTGCTACTCTCGATTCTTAATTAAAAGTGAATTGACGTAATGTAACCTCCATTCAAGGAGGTATTATATTCTACATTATAGGGAATGAAGAAAAGTTACAATTTGTAATCCATGCAGAATAAATACTGAAATTAAAGGGCTTTCTTCACTTGAAAGAAGTCGGGCCGGTCCTTGTTAGCTGCATCTACATCCTCTGGAGATGCCACTGCAACCACAGCCCCTTTATCCTTAACTGCTTCCATTGCATCCATAAAATGTTTGAAGTCCTTCAAACTGGCGGGGAAATATAAAACCGAATTAGAACAAACGGATTGGAAGTTCAGAAGATCAAATTCAGTGGGAATATGTCAAGGCACCGATATTCTTTTGATTCATTAGTCCTTTTGCCATAAGGGGTTAACAAAATCCAAGGACAATAAGGAGGCATAAAATGTCTCAACACAACAAATTCAGGAAGACTAGTCTCTAGAGCAGCAAAACTACATGCAAACAATATCATCGAACGAAAGGGACACAAAAAATCAGCCGTGATAAAATTTAAATTGATTCCAGATCAGAAAATCGTTTGACCAGAGAGAGAGAGACGTATTGAGAGCAGACAACATATTTTGCTTCATCAATAGCCACTGATCAGATGACTGCATATATTCATAAAAAGTAGATCATGCATTAATCATCTATCAGATTTACCTAGTAGATAATATCTCCTCACGTCTCCTTTGCCTTTCTTCCTCTGTGATACCCAGTAAGTACCGCAACATACTGCAAATGAAATGAAAAGAAAGCACAGTTTGCAACTACAATAAGAAAATCAACAATAATTGCACGTTTAGAAGCAATCACTAATAATTCATTAATTCAGCAATTAATCCTGCTTAGAGTGTGTGTGTCTAGTCTATGTGATTTTTGTTAATGGGATGCAAAGGAACCAAATATCCACAGAAAACGGGCACCGAAAGAATTAATTATCTCGTAGACATACCTACTATAACCTTTGGCATCAGGAAGCTGATAGGCATCTACATCCCCAATGGTTCCAATTATGGCTTTTGTTAAAGTATCGTCATCAATTTGTAGTTCTCTCAAGAAATCGCCAGTTCCATCATACACATCAAGCGTCTTCAGCAAATTGGGATCACGATACGATAAGAAGGAGAACACTCCTACAAACAAAAAAGGTAAGATTGCATGAATGCTTCTAAATAAAAACTTAATTAGAATACACTAACAATGTATAGATTGTTTATACTGTTATCCTATATCAGATTGCTATGAATGGTAAAATTATTGCTGTTTATAACAAGCTCTTTAAAAGTCATACAGAAGATGATTTATTGTCGGTTGATAATGTAAAGATCAAACTGACAGCATATAAAAATAAACTCTTTCAGTAATTATGCCCAAGGTTAAATATAATACAACTTACCTGAGTGAGTATCAAAATCACAGAAACCTCCATAAGCTCCGCCGCTAACTCGTACACGATCCCACAACCATGTATTGCTAATGTATTTGGAAATAACATATGCACTCCCGTTAAGCTGATAACCAGTATCATAAATGTTGGCTGCTTTTCCAACGTAATTAACCTATCGAAGGAAACACCATGATATGTTGACAGAAACACAATTGTAACAGGAAAAATAAAAAAATACAGGATCAAAGACAATTACACTCTGCGCACAACAGAAAAATATGTATACAAAGGATGACAAAATAAAATTATCTTACCTGAGTAGGAATCACGATAGCTTCATTTGTTAATGGAAGTCTAACATTCCAAGCAGTTGTTGCAATGGGAGAGCTAGTAGGAAGCATATCAACAAATTTGCTCACAACTTTTTCTGTGTTAGCAAGATTTTTCCTATCAGCAGTGACATTTATCAAGCAGCCTTGCTTGGAAAAAACAGATTTGCGAATCTCCTCAAGAGATGATGAGATATCTGCCCAATCTTGATCAACTCTCTCTTCAAGAGTTCGGAGGAATTCTAGGTAACTAGAAAGAATAATCAAGAAAAATAGAAGTACTCAGCAGAAATTATACTCCTGTACTGTTACAATAATAAACCTAAAAGTAGAATAAAAAGGACAATCATGAAAATTCAATCCTTTTAACAAATAATAGTAGTGTCAAAGTTGTTTGGATTTTTTTCTATTCAAAATCTAAATAATTCTTCTAGAAACTTAGGACATAATAAGATCAGATTCATCTGATCTCAACCTTAACTTTTGTTTTATTTTCCCTTACCAACTAGTTTGAGTTGTAATCATTTTGGTTAGAGATTCTTACCAACTCTGCCAATTTTATCATCCTTTGCAACTCCAATTAATCAATGAAATAATTATGAATTCTTCTACTAAACTACAAAAGTAGTATTAAACAACTATAAATAAAATGAATATTACAAGAAGCATTTAATATGACAAGAATGGATACAACTAAAAAGAATTATCTATAAATGCACCCCCACAATAAATCATTAGAGTATTTAGATTTTCCAACCTGAGACCTCCCATCTTTTCTGACATCCAACCTGCTGCATTTAGTTTTGCATCCATCCTTGCAGCTGCAATTCCATGACCACTTCCTCTTAACCGGTTCTGACAATAGACAGATGCACAATATAGATAATTAGTAGAGGCGCATTAGCGCATGTCATACCTTTTTATCATTTTGTCCTCTCTCTACATGAAACATTTTGATAATTACCTCCATTCTTGCTCTACTCTGGGAAACAAATTGTTTGAACCGCTGTTGGTCTGTAAATTGGACATCTTGAAGAACAGAATTAACCTAAAGCAGCAGCATGAAATTAGGCTTTACATGACCACGATAGAAATATTTTGGCTAATCAGTGGGTTGAAACGGGAAACTTTTAAACAAATTTAAGTACCAAGTCATAAAGGTCTTCAATATGTCCAGCCATGGCTTTGCCTCTAACAACCATGTGACTGCATGGATCTTCCTTGCCCCGGACTGATGATGTGAATGGATAAACTGATATTCCTCCAGTTTTTCTCCCAATTAATTGGTTTAATTGGACAAAAGTCAGGTCCTTTGTTCCCATCTCCAACAATGATTGGCTGTCAAAAATAACATGAGTTACAGACTACAAAGCTTGATATTTATCTGTCAAGAGGATGCTTTTGATATACACATGAAGAGGAATAGAAGAATAAACATCAAAAGGGAAAAAAAGTTTTAGTAAATCCTCAGCTGAGTCTTTTAGATTGTAAGCATCAATCAGTTTAGTCTCTGACCTTTCTAAACTTTCTTTTAATCCAAGACTTCGTAAACAGTCATTCCAGTCCTTTTCCAGCTCATTTTTTTTACAAGTTTTAAGGACTAAAGAGAATGACATTTTGCAAATTTAGGGACTAAACGATAATATAAAAAAGGTCGTTACTGATGCTCACAATCTTACTGAGTAATTTAGGAAGATTTATTGTTAACAATAAAATAGTAACATTATTATTTTATGTTGTGAAAATAAAACAATAACACCATTATATAATATTTGTTATAA